AGGGGGGGGGGGGATTAAAAAATTAAAAAAAGACATTTTTACAGAATTAATAATAATTAATTGAATGAAGGAAATATTCAAAAGTATAAATAAAGTTTTAAATGTTGCTAAATGTCCCACGATTTCTAATTATATACGTTTACGTAATTACGTGATAAGAATATTTATTTATAATTTTCGTTAACACCTTTGGTTTCCTTAACGAACACCCCCCACCCCGTCAAAAACTATTGATGGGAGGATAAAATAAATTAACATTATTATTCGTAAAACAATATTTTTGTTTGCATCGATCAAACTTTTAATATATTTCATTAATTTGTATGCGTATGTGTATTTGTGTGTGTCATTTATGAAAGTCAAGGTCATTAGTAATAGACAATAGGCTAGCTTCCAAGAATATTTGCCAATTGTTGAGAAAAACAATTTCCCACGAGTGATTCATGTATGCGTTGTTAACACGTGCGTGTAATATGTGTGTAATTTTTTTTAAACACACACAAACAACAAAACAGTGATAACGATTATATATTATCATCTATGACGATTCTATAGTGAAAAATGAAATGTGCTAATTAATCGTACTTGTCGTATACGCCACCGATAGGAAATTATTATCGATTATATTAAGAAAAAAAATAATAAAAAAAAATCTAGAGAATGATTCAAGCTCTCTCTTTAATTTAATATTTAAAAAAGAAAAGACGTTTTGTGTGTGTTTATTCGATCTGATTGTGAACGAAGTAAACGTGTTAATCGCATCTAATTTAAACAGAGTATAATAATTAATAAGCTTGTTTGTGGTTTGTTTTGTTGACAGTGTCAATCGAAAATAACCCGAGTATATTATGTATATAGTTTTGTTTACGATAGTTATCGTTTGAAATCTAATTGTCATCTTTTTTTAGGTGTGGGGGATTTATTATTATTTTATTTTTTTATTCTTCTTCTTTTTATTTTTTAATATAATATATTTCAAATTATAATTACGTTCAAAAAAAATATCGTATTTACATATATCGCGAAAAGAAAAAAAAAAACATTTCCGAATAATTTTCTAAATTAACCTAAGTGAAAAAAAAAATAGATTTTCGTAATGGTAAGTAAAAGAAAAAAAGAAAAAAAATTCAATTTCTTGAATATCGTCCAAACCGACTGTCAGTAAATGTTTGTTTAGCTAGCTAGCTAGCAAGTTTCTTTTATCGTTAGTTTTTCTTACGTAAGATTGGATATATTTTGTCAAAAATCATTCGGTACGGTTACTCGAATGTTCCGAACGTGAAATAAGAAAATGGCCGCAAGCCAATCTCGAAAGCTTTAGAGTTCTATCATCCTAGGGTTGTTTCTTTTAAAACCATTGTTTCTCAACGGATTGAAAAAGAGAATTGTCATTTAAAAATATTTATTTATGTATTTATGTTGTCGTTATGTATTAACATACACACACTCACACACATCATATATAAATTTTTGTTCAATTAAATAAATACGACGAATACAAATGTACCGTTTTAATCTGAATTGTAAATGAAACATAAATTGTAACAAAATTATATTCACATGCATTTTATATATAATAATTATTTATATTCATTAATATACAATTATCAAAGATCATTGAGTTTACTTTATCTTTACTACCAGAAAATATAATAACCTGAAAAGTTAACTGAAAAAAATAATTATAATCTCGTGAGAAACGTGCACAGTTCATTTTTTAATAATAAATTCTAAACACACATATATCGGATTGGCCAAGGTTCACCGCGTTCGTTCGTTCGTTCGTTCGTTTATTCGATCATTTCATTTTGTACGTTCTCTTTTACGCAATCTACAAGAAAGCAATCGACCTTTTTCTCTTTTTCTGTTCTATTATCCACAACTTTAATGGCAAAAGATTAAAGTGCAAACGTAACGGATTGTAAAACTGCTAAATTTTATTATTCTGTCTCTATAATAAAACCATTATATTTTTACTTCTGTCTTTTACTTACGTATTTTATTTATCTATACTCATATATTGTGTGTGTGTTGTGTATCATATATATATGATATATGAATATTTGTACGCAGCATGTATAATTTCTAAGAGACTACGGAACAAAGTACAATGTTCAAGATAAAATTGTTTTTTTTCAATGCAAACATGCCAATTCTCTCCACCTACGTGGAAGTTCCATCGATCAGGTTTTTTTTTTGTTCGTTAAATCAATTGACTAGAAAATGTGTATTTCCTTGTTGCTTCATGCATCAACTATTTATGTGATTATACATATATATATATATATATATATGTATGTATATTTGTGATTTTCGTAGTTTAGATTATTATTTAAATATTATTTTTCAGTATCCAAATAATTTGCACGTAAAATCCAATCGAATTGCATGACATTGATTAAATTTATTTATCACGAACGTAGGAAATTTCTTTTTAAATTTAATCATTATCACCGTTTGTATTTTTTTTTTCAAAATGTTCAGATCATTAAATATATTTATCATTACGTGACTTGTCTCTACGTTATATTTTCTCTTTCTTTATTATTGTATTTTTTTTTTCTTTTTATCGAAATAAAAAATATTATTTAGTAATTAGAGTATTATTGACACGCGAATATACGTGTTTTTGAAATTTCAAAATAACATTTCGTGTCTGACGAATGACTGTATAATGATCGATCGTATGTATAATAAGACCCCGCCTTATATAACTATAAATGTCATTTACTCCTTTCACGTAACACCACTATGGCTTCTTAAGAACTCTATGATCCGTGATGCACCACTGGTGGGCTTTCTTGAATGGTAGTTCTGATGATAGACACGTGCAACATGACGTGTTACTAAATGAGATTTTCCACGACATCGACTTGACATTGCATCATTAGTTCCTCTTCAAATATTATATATATATATTTATTAGTATATAAAATGAATTTTACTCCAGTATCTCACGTATACAAAATGTCACGTTAATAATAATAAAAAAAAAAAAAAACAAGAAAACCAATATATATTATTTAGTAATCTAATGAATCAGCCCTCAAATAATACATTTCGAAATCAATGAAATGAAGAAATAACATTCTATATACATATATATAAAGTTAAGAAAGAAATAAGAATCATTATTATCTCGTGATTGCATATTGTTGCGTTTTTTAATCACAAAACGTCATCGTCTCTTTGTTCCAGGTATCGGAGTAAAAATTTGAAATACGCGCTAAACGATAGCGTTGTGTCACGTGACGGTGCGGCTTATTGACCAAGCCGTACACTAACGCGAATGGTCAATTTTGGTCACGTGACTAGTGGTAACGTCAAGTCGGGTTACCGTCTGCTTTTCGATCGAACGGATATCTCAACGGGCCTTCGAAGGACAAAGAATTCGTGAATAAGAGCTTGAAACGTTTACACCTTATCTAATATATCTTACTTTGTCACAATTTAATTGTGCTCGTTTTATTATACGAAAAAGAAAAAAAAGAAGAAGAAGAAGACAAAAAAATCATTAAAAAGAAACAATAATAATAGATTCGTTTTGAGAAAAGAAGAAAGAAGAAAAAAATAAAATAAATAAAAATAAAAATAAATCAGCTGTGCGTGCGTGTGGGAATAATTTTCGCGCGATTACGATCATTTTGACAGTTCTCAACGTTTATTCAGTTTGACAGTGTCATTTACGAAATAGTCAAGAATTTAAATGTTTGTTACAAAAGTCGATTATTTCGTAGAAGAATAATTCATTTTCTATTCAGTATTATTTTAAAGTGTCATCTCGAAATAAATCAATTAACACGTAGTGATGATGATGATGATGATGATGATGATTAAACATGGTTAAGTAAAACTAATTAACGTTGTCAAGATATTATTAATTATTAAAACGGAATATTGAGATTCGTTGAGAAAGGATAGAAGATAAAGTTCTTTTTCCTTTTCTTATTCTTCTTTGTCTTTGTCTTCGTCGTCGTCGTCGTCGTCGTATTAAACGTCAACGTCAACGTCTCAGTGATTTAGTATTATTTATTGGAATTTGATCGTCGAATCGCAGGTCGAATTTCTCTCGTTTGTTATTAACGACGATCGGTTAATTGATTATGATGTACAAGATGAACTACATCGGGAAATTTATTAGTAATTTTCGCGACTTTTACAATGAAATCAATGCGGCAACGTTAACTGGTGCAATTGACGTCGTTGTCGTCGAACAAGCTGACGGATCTTTCACCTGTTCACCCTTTCACGTTCGTTTCGGCAAACTCGGTGTACTCCGTTCCAGAGAAAAAGTGGTTAGTTATTATTTATAATAATATTTATTATTATTATTATCATTGTTATATATTATTACATTTATTCATTGTTTATACTTTTTATTAATATAATTTAATTATCATTAACATTATATATTATATTATTATTAATTATCATTAATATTATATTAACATTAATTATATATAACATTATATATTATTATTATATTAACATTATATATATATATATATTAATTATTTATAATATTATTTGTATTTAGGTGGACATTGAAATCAATGGAGAACCAAGACAAATTCATATGAAATTGGGAGACTCCGGTGAAGCTTTCTTTGTCGAAGAAGTTAGTTCCAATGGTTCGCCAACCGATACAGAAATTCCACCACATCTGGCATGTTCGCCAATTCCAGACGACAATTGTTTTCCATCGGCTGGATTTAATCCTTTATCAGATCTTCCTCAAGAACAGAGGGACAAGATACTCATAGATTCGGTTTTGTCGATAGAGAGAGAAAAATGGGAACAAATGTCTGCCTTGCCACCCGAAGAAAGAGAAAAATTTTTGATAGAACAATTTGCCGATCTTCCAGCAGAACATCGCGACAAATGGCTTCAAATAGCATCATTGACGCTCGAAGAAAGAGACGAAATGTTTAAACAAAGTTTCGGTACTATTTCTACTTTGCAAAAACAACAAATGATACGAGAACAATATTCCGCTTTGAAATTGGAGGAAAAGGAAAGATTGTTTAAAGAAAACTTTCCTGAACTTCCTGCCGAACAAAGGCATAAGTTTGAGAAGGCACTGTTGAGCGACTGGAAACAAAAGGATGATGAAAAATGGAATAATAAATCTAATGCGTTGAAGAATAACGAAGAAGAAATTTTTGACATGGAAGGTATCAATGATGACGATGAATCCCAACCTATAGCATCCATACCTAAATCATTCGTAGCTGTTACATCCGAGGACAAGATACGTAAAATCAGCGTTGTAAAGAATGATTTTATACCTATATCTAACGACATTCAGGATAATGAAAAAGGAAAATCAAGTTACGAATCTAATAATTCGTGCGTTATCAAGCAGAGAATTCGTAAAATTGGTGTTGTTAGTAATGATTTTATTCCAATAATGGATGATTCGCAAAGAAGCAGTAAAGAAAAGTCAAGCGACGAGTCTAATTCGTCTTCTAATAAAAAATTGTCGAGAGATGAGACTGGGGAGGAATCTAAAATTAATAATTCCACTAAGAGAAAGAGAAAGAGGAAGAGCATCATGAGGAAGAAGGGTTCGCAGAGAAAAACTAGTAACGGTAGCAGTAGCCAAACCGAAATGAGTGAAACTGACATCAATGCTACGGAAGAATCTCCTCACAGTGAATCTGTAAGCGATTTGAAATTATTCTAAAAGCAATTCACTTTTGTTTTGTTTCTCTATTTATTTATATATAAATATTTGTCATATAGATTTTGAAAGGACCAAGTCCGGTAATAGAAATCGACTCGAAGAAGGACTCCCCAGGTATTATAACTTCAGCGGAAGAAATTTTGGAGAAACGTCCAGAAACTGACTTCCATTTCTTCAGCGATACAGAAATAACTAAGTAAGTTAATTATTTATATGTAATATGGATTAAATTTCAATACGTAGAAGGAACATTATTAATATCTCTAAAACGTTATTAAAAGGAACCAAGATTCTAGGCCATGTTCACCAATACAATCAGATACAGAATTTGAAATGCGTAAAATCACGCAAGAGGGTTGTGAACAAGAAGATGATAAGGCTCATCAACAGAGTTGGAAATGGGGAGAATTGCCTAACTTGCCACCTGAATCCAATCATCCGTCTCATAGGAATTCAGTTAATTCTTCGGTTGTAATTCCCCAATCTAATGATAGTAAGTATGTCGAACGTGTACAATTATTAAAGTAAGAATGAAATCTCATATCTTTTTATTTTTCTTTTATTATTATCTTCTCGTTTTCAAAGATATCAGATCAGATGTAAATTGTCATTGAAAATATTTGTGCTAATTAAACCTCATTCATTAAATCTTACAAACTAACGTATAATATAATCCCATGTCATATAACACGTCATTTATTATTATTTCTATAAATCTAAATAACTAAATGTTATAAATAATGTTAATTAAATGCTTGAGTATTAACAACTTGCTAAATGCTATTTAAATGGTAGCAGAGGCACATCGATCAATGCTCAGTGGCATGTTCTCATTTATGAAGAAGACCTCTCGTGTGAGGCATAATCCAGAATCTGAAGGAATTTATCTTAGCGATTTAAATTCCGATGAATTGGATCCTGAAGTTGCAGCTCTTTATTTTCCCTCTTCTCATCGTGGAGCAACTGTGGTAAAAGGTATACACACTATGCTTTGGTTGTAAATGTTTTAAACAAACTAATATATTAATATTTAATTACTTTGACACATAAACTGCATACACCACACATTTTAATCCACAAATATATTTGTATATTTACTACATTATACATTTATTGAATTTCTATTAAAAGCTACAAATTTTCTTGTACAGGTGTATATAAAAAAAAAAAAATCTACACATAACATATATCTAATGAAAATAATAATAACAACTTTGTATATATATGTTAGATTAATATTATTATGTACAAGAATGAATATATAATCGGTTTACATTATTTCAACTATTTCTTTCAGATGCAAAAGTAGTTGACGAAGAAGATACCGAATCCGGTAATGGACCAAGTATTCCGCAAAGTCCTAACAGCGTTGAAGGAGCTATCGGTGGTCCAAAATCGTTAGATAGCGATTTTGAAGAACCCAAAAATTCTGTCTTCGATAGTAATTTTGAAATTAGTCTTTCCTTGTGCGGTGGTTTGGATACCGAAAGTGGCCCATCGAAAGAAGCTTTCCACCAAAATTTACTTCATTATGAAGATATTTGTTCCGATCCGAAATTATACGATAATCCTAATTTGGTGGTTAAAATCAATAACAAGTATTATAATTGGGCTACTGCCTGTCCAATTGTCATGACATATGCTGTCTTTCAAAGACATTTACCACAAAATACTATTGAAAATTTGTACGCCCAATGTATGCCATTACTGATGCACGGAGATAAAAAACAGTCGAGTACTGGAAAGGCTGAAGGTCGTAGTGGTTACAGTTCATGGTTTTCATGGGGTAGATCTAACACTCAACCTAAAAAATCTCAGGAAATAAGTCAAGGTAAATATAAATTAAATATATATATTTTTTTTCAATTATAAATAATATATAAATATATTTAACTTTTATTTTAGTTGATGGACCACCCCTAATTGGAGGAGAACATTCTGAACAAGCAATTGAGTGTAAGGAAACGATTGTAATAAGAGAAATGCCTACAGAAAGGTATATAATAAAAAAGAATATTTGTTTTTTTCTTAATATATATATATATATAAAATTATATATTTAATCGTTGACTTTTAATTTATTCAGTAATATTGATCTCAAGACTGATCCAATTTCAACGATTATTTCTGTAACTATGGAAACACATGAATTAAGGAATACACCTACTGATAGTTTGATCATGAAGACTGAAAAATCATGCGAAAGAGAAGGCGAAGGATATAGCGGTAGTGAAGATTCAGATAGTAATCAAAACGATATGCAAGGTGTTAAAATACCAATTGAAAGAAGACTCTATTACGAATCTACCGAGAAGTATAGAAAAACTTTAAGATTGTCGTCTGAACAAATAGTATGTGTGTTGTCATTTTAATTAATTATTTATTTACAATTATTCTATTATATTATAATACAATTTGTTTAGAAATATTAATGTAAAACATATTTTTCTTATTTTAATTATAGGCAAGTTTGAATTTAAAAGAGGGCCCTAATGAGGTAGTGTTTAGTGTTACAACGGCTTATCAAGGTACTACTCGTTGTAAATGTCATATCTATAGATGGAGATGGGATGATAAAATTGTAATCTCAGACATCGATGGCACTATTACCAAGTCCGATGTTCTGGGCCACATTTTACCAATAGTCGGAAAGGATTGGGCTCAGTCCGGGGTTGCTCAATTATTTACCAAGATTAAGAACAATGGTTATAAATTATTGTATCTTTCGGCTAGAGCAATAGGTCAAGCTAAAGTAACAAGGGAATATTTGAAGAGTATAAGGCAAGGAGATTTGTCGCTTCCCGAGGGTCCTTTGCTTTTAAATCCAACCAGTTTAATATCTGCATTCCATCGTGAAGTTATCGAAAAGAAACCAGAAGAATTTAAAATATCTTGTCTAAGTGATATTCAAGCACTATTTCCAGAAGGCTCTAAACCATTCTATGCTGGCTATGGTAACCGTATTAATGTAAGAATTAACACCAAAATATTACGTAATGTTTTCTTATATCGTTTATCCTTATTATTTTATTCTACTATTCATTTAAATATTATTTTATATACAGGATGTTTGGGCTTATAGAGCTGTAGGCATTCCTATTATGAGAATTTTTACCATAAACCATAGAGGAGAACTGAAACACGAGTTGACGCAAACATTCCAATCATCGTAAGTAATATATTGAATGATTTATTTATATTTTTATAATATAACTGTTAAAAATTGATTCATCCTAGCTGTGATTAACACAACATTTAATTTAATACCATTTATATACATATATACATTTAGATGCTGTATCTTTTTCTTATCCCAATTGTATATAGTTGTCTGCTTATTTAAACTTATTAAAATAACAAATCATAGCATCAATGAATGTGATACATCTTCAAAATGGAATGTTAATTGATATAACTTCGCAGCATTTAATTTCAGCTTTCATTTCAGATAGATATTATAAGTTTTCGTTAATACGCAAAGTGTCAAAGATCTTTTATTAAGCTTGCCATTTAGGCCACGATAACTTGTCGTTTATCGGTGACCAACGTGATCTTAATGAAAAATTGAAGATCCGTAGGATTGGCATAACGTTTAATATATTAATTAATTCCTGTCACAATTTTCTCTCTAACTCATATTTATTTAATATATATAAATTAACTGGTTTTCTTTTCTTTTTTTTTACAGCTTATTCGTGTAACATGATATACGTATAACTTAATTGTGATATCATATGTGTGGCTATATAATGTTAACACAAAATTGAAATTATTTTGATCTGTTTGTACAGTAATAATTTGTTCTGTCATACTTAAATTAGATAATGAATTATTACGAAGACAAGAATGACAAAACAATATAAAATAAAATAAATAGAAAATCTTGATAGGCTTTTGACAGGGCGGATATTTCTGTGATTACAGCTACGCGTGTCAGTGCGATATCGTCAATGAGTTGTTTCCACCACTGCCCACGTCAAACGTCCAATGATGATGACACAACCATTTAGATAGAAACGTAGAAATGTAGGATTATTAGCGAAATAGTTAGCTAAATTGAAAATGAGCACGATGAATTAATTTTAATCGTTGAGTCGTTATATAATTAATGGTAGCACATATAAAATATATAATATTATATTATGGGTATATAACTATATAGAATATATACCATTAATTAAAGTCAAGTCAAATCCCAGGGAAAATTAATTGCATGAGATTCTGTTGCATATATAGAGTTGTTTTTATATATATATATATATATATACTTTATTTATTTGTTATAAGAGTATTTATACGAGCAGAAAGAAAAATCAGTATTTTAAATATGATGTATATTAATTCTGCCAGTGTTTCTGTCAAATGCAGAAAATATCGTTTCTCTTGTATTATATACTTCCAATAGGAGTTTATATTTCAATTGTGAAAGAGCATATACATCACATTATTTATTTAGAAGTATTGTGTCATTGTATTTTAAGGTATTTTGGTTGTGCTACACTTGGTATCGTCTTATGATTTCTAGGGTAAGCACTTGTTGGTACACTGTAGCTTTTTCCTTGTTATAGCTTTTACAATTTTTCATTAATCGCAAACATTGTTCATATTCTATTCACGAGTTCTCACGAGTCTATATCACTGTTCATCGAGTAAGACTTAAATTGTTGAAATAGTTATCAACAACATTTCTTTTATACATTTTTTCACATTTCGATTAACAATCTTTATTTTTTTTAAATTTCTATACGTATCCATCAAAGTTTCATTGAACTAACAAGATAAAAGATATTTATTAATCGTTTGAATTATGTGTTTCTACTTTTGAGTTATCATTATATTTTCTTTTAATAGCTTTCGTATGTTTCATTTTTAATATACAAAAAAACAAGTATAATAAAGGAAGATCAGGAGAATATTAATAATAAATTAACAGAGTTTTAGGAATTGTATGAGGTATTCATTTTCACGCGATAACACATTTAAAATATTTTATTATTATAATCACTGCGTACGCATTTATCATTACAGTTCTATTTTTACATTACAAAATGGAATTCATCCGAGCTGCTTTCTCTGATATCATGGATTTAATTATCAAATAAGCGTATACACGAATAGATATTTGTCAAATCTCAAATATTCTTTTTCCTTTTCTCGTTTCAGATATTCAAATATGAGCGTCATAGTAGATCATCTATTCCCAGCTTGGCGAGAGGAAGCTGCAGATGAGTTCAGTAACTTTGCTTACTGGAGAGAACCGATTCCTGAATTACCTAAGCTCGAGGCCCATTTTATGCAAACCCAAGCAGTTTAAACGAATAATCTTTTCTTACCGGAGCAATAATATTCGACTCGTAAAAAGAAAAAAAAAAAAAAACTAAAGAAACTATCGTCACTTATTATAATTAGCTACTATTTGTATCCTATACTTAAATGTAGTGTTCTTGACTGGTGCAATTCAGTGACATTATACAAGAACAAGATCAATATTACTCTTCTTAAGCTCTTCTTACATGTCGTGAAAGAATATTATCGTTTTATTTTTTTTACTAATTAAAAGAAAAAAAAAATAATAATTATTACTAAGAGAATCAATCATTGTATGTGGCTATTTATAATGTGAATTCACTCACTATATATTAATATCTCGTGCTTCAGTTTGAGTTGATCGACATTCCAAAGCACACAATAGTAAAAAATGAAAACGTTATATATATATATATATATATATATTTATCAATGCATTGTGTTTTAAATTTTGCTAATATTAAATCTGTCGCACCAGTCAGTGCACAGTAAACTACTTGAGAAAAATAATATAATTTTATGCTCGAGTAGGATCGAATTAAACTTGCTGCTTTTGTGCATGCTTTAAAAAATATGGATAAAAAGCATAATGTACTCGTAGTTTGTGAATCTATCTTGGGTAAGTGAGATGCGACTCGAATCGACAGTCAATAATGTTCCATTAATTATTATTATAAATCAGTTTATTTGTGTGCTAGAGAATGATTTTTAGCTTAGATTTGTGTAATACGACTATGAAGCGTAGATTATAAATCATTTTCTTAAGAAAAAATATCCATCTAGCACATTAAGAAAATATAC